CCCTCCATCCATTCATGGATTCCATCCATCCCTCCACCCATCCATCCCTCCATCCATCAATGTATTCCATTCATCCATCCATGGATTCTGTCCATCATCCATCCATCCATCCATGGATTCCATCCATCCATCCATGGATTCCATCCATCCATTTATGGATTCCATCCATCCATCCATCCATCCATCCATCCATCCATCCATCCATCCATCCATGTATTCCATTCATCCATCCATGGATTCTGTCCATCATCCATCCATCCATGGATTCCATCCATCCATTTATGGATTCCACCCATCCATCCCTCCACCCATCCATCCCTCCACCCATCCATCCATCCATCCATCCATGCATTCCATTCATCCATCCATGGATTCTATCCATCATCCATCTATCCATCATCCATCCATCCATGGATTCCATCCATCCGTCCATCCCTCATCCATCCATCCATCCATTCATGCATTCCATCCATCCATCCATCCGTCCCTCATCCATCCATCCATCCATGGATTCCATCCATCTGTCCATCCCTCATCCATCCATCCATCCATCCATCCATGGATTCCATCCATCCCTCAACCAGAGACAACAGCAGCAGAGCCGAAGCCGTACGAGGTTTCCATGCAGGGTTGGATGTTTTTAGCCCAGATTTGGCCACAATTTGCTCTGCTTGTGGCCAGCCCAGGCTGGGGGAGCTGAGGCAGCAGCACAGGGATGTTTTGGGAATGCTGAGGGATTCTCCTGGCAGGTGCAGCACCAGCAGTCGGATTTTGCTGCCTCACCCCAGCGCTTTGGCACAGGACTCGCTTTGCGTTTAATCCCTGCAAAGTTCACGGAGTGTCACTCCTCCCCTCTGTCCCTGCTGCCACCCGGCTGCAGGAGGGAAGGATTTGGGGTGGCTGCAGCCTGGACCCACAGGGAACAGCACCCAGACAGCCACTGCCACCTTTGAGAGCCACCCCAAACCCAGCAAGTCCCCGCAGGTCACCCAGGAGCCACGTGGCATCTCCAGAGTCTGTGGCCTGGAATCCAGGGGGGATAAGGCTCAATAATCCCATTAAACCTGCTGGAAAGGGCTGCCCGGGCTGTGGGACAGCAAAACAAAGCAGCACCGAGGATTTCACTCCACGTGGAGCCGCTCACCTGCGGGTGACCCACATGTGGCCCCTGGTGACATCTGCACGGACAGGATGTGACACCTCTGCTGCCTGAATTTGCAACCTCTGGGGGCTGGCAGGACAAGAGGAGGAAAGAGCTGAGCCCCAGGGTGAACCCAGATTATCAGCTCGGGAAAAAGCAGCTTGAGAAGGCTCTGCTGCAGCTGAGGGGCAGCACCCCTGAGCATGGGGCAGCGGCCTCGCCCTGCTCACCCCAAATCCAGCTGTGGAATGGGGGTGTCAGCCCTGTCTGGCTTGGAGGGTCTCATTCCAGTGCCTGGAGTCTCCCCTGGGAGGCTGCTGGGGAGCCCTATATATAGGAACCCTATAGGGGAGCGTGGGTTGCTGAGTGGGATGTCTAAAATTATCCGTCCCATCCCTGAGCTGCACGGCTGCTGGAGCAGGAGCCCTAAACCCCTCCTGCTCCAGCTCCTCCATCCCACAGGGGTGAGGGAATCGTTCCCATGGGGAGCCACAGCACCCCAGAAAGCCCAGGTTGGAGCTGGGACTTTGGGGGGCAATGGGACAGGGGTTTCTTGTGGGGTGACACAGCCC